CATGTCTTCAGCTATCTACTGATAGCAAAATGTTTATACTTCGAAAGTAATTGCAATAAGTAACAGTTAATGATTCTTCATCATCTCATACCGGTATGACACTACTTCTGTGTAGTGATAGCGCTAAATAGCGCTAAATCCCTATAGACCTTCTGAATACATTAAAATGTTCCTCTACAACTAGTCTATTTATGGTGAAATCGCAAAATCTCACATATGTTCCAAAAACGTTTTATGGATTTTCCAAAACCTATAGGGGATTTGAGATATTTCGAATTTTTCTCCCTTATAAACACACATTTCGTCAAATATAATAACATATTCGGAATCAGCGTGAAAAACTGCATCGAATGATATATAGCTTTTTAATTTTTCTGCAGAAATATTTTCGGTCAAACTGAATTATACAGTTGAAAGCCTGTCCGCAGCAGCTTTTGCTAGGAATTTGGATATTTATTTTAGCAATAGTGCACAAGTCTATAAACACATTTTTTATAGGTTTTGGAATATGATCTCTCCAATAGTGAGGTTTTCGAAATGTAAAAATATTTTTTATGGGTTTTCCAGAGATCCGGTCTCCAGAAAACCCACAAGGGATTACTTTTGGGTTCTGAAAATCTCATCATTAGAAAGAGCGTATTCGAAAACCTATAGAAAAACGTGTTTATAGGCTTTCATATCACTTCTACAGGATATGTCCGCCTGCTCTATAGAAAAATGCCCACTGTGTCCAGATGGATGAGACAACCGACATCAAGGATTTGGCAGACGACATGGAGCGTCTCGGTGAAAACTAGTTGGGCCTAGAGCCCATACTAAACCATTTTTATTGTGTGTGTGTGTGTGTGATAATTTACTTATATATACTTATATATAAAATACAAAAAATAGTTAAAGCGTTTTTTATACAAAAAACATTCAACCGTATAAATTAAAGTTTTAAGTTGGGTTCAAGGAGTCTTAGGCTAAGGCACTTGTTCTCGTATCACTCTCTATCTCTACTAATAGCAGTCACAAACGCGTCTAATAGTAGTTTCCGTTTATTATTCACCAAGCTACTACACTACTCTTGCATGTTCGCGAAACGGTTTTCAAAAGAGTTGAAACATCTAAAATGAAAGCGGACCGAAATACACTGATTACGCGACTAGATGCTCAACATTTTACAAAAGACGAACAAGAGCGAATCAATTTGTATATCAACTTGCATATAAAAATGCAAGAAGTGATAACAGAAGTTGAAAAGCTCGAAGCACGAACAAGAATGAAAGCACCACCATTGTTAAAACGTCTCGATATATCAATGAAAACAAGTCTACCACTAGACACTGCCGAGTTGACAACCATACAAACCGAATGTGATACAGCGATTCTGAGTGCTAAAACAACATTACAAAAATAGCACTCAAAAAGCTTGAACATACAAAAATAGATGTATAAGATGCTACATTGCATCATATCTGCTTTGACACATATTAAAGACGTGCCAAAGAGACAATTGTATGATAGGTATCATACATATATATATATATATATATTCATTCTCTTTCTTTTTGTCAGGAATTTCCCCAGTGTTATTTCTTATTGTCAACTATATGTATCTCTTCCGTTCTCTGCCTTTCTATGACGAATTTCCCCAGTGTTGGTTCTTGGTTTCTTTATTTTCTGTGATCGCTTACATGTATCCCCAATTTCCCAGTCTAGTACATCAACTCTAGAATATTCCGCTTTTCGTGTAAACTCTCATATAAATATACGCTATTTTTGTGCAAAGGAAATAATGTTCAGTTTCTAAATAAACATTTAAAATCATATCAAATTCAGTGATACAAATCAAACAATTTGTGGTGACAGCAAAGCGTTACAACTATAATGACTAGAGCCACATAACAACTTAAATTGAATAAAAATAGACTACTGCAAACGCATAATTTTTCAACGGTCTCGATCCAGATAATACCTCATCAAAGGTTTGTTTTTGTAGATCTCGGGTTGTTCATACAATGATCAAAACTGATGCCTGTTCAAGATAAGTCGAAGTTTTCACCGCCGTTCATTTCCGTCAATGCCGTGTATTACAGAGTGTTGCATAACCTTTTTCCAGGGGGGTAACGACGTGATTTTAAAGTAGGTACCTAATGAATTTTATACCAAATGAAAGCCCGTAAAAAACTGGATCTTGGACGTCGGGCTTTTCTCTTCCTCCTGCTCTTCTTTATCTCAACTTGTGTCATTGATTGTTCTATTATTATATAAGATTTCACGTATTTATCGTCTAATAAAATGGCTGGAGTCATTGGAGATGACGAAGAACAACGTGTGATAGATCGTATTCGAGCTAATGCCTATCGAGAAGCAATGGAAGAAGGTGCAACGTTTATCAATCGAAAATGGATTGCTCAAAAACTGCATCGTACTGAAAGGTGGGTTACAGACAACTGGAAAAAAGGATATGAACACTGCTTCACGAAGTTTGACGATGGAAGACCGACAAAATTGTCGGAAGAAAGCAAAAATATCATAAGTGGAAAACAGTGGGAAAAGGCAAAGAAGCTGCAGGCGAGTTGCAAAGGAGATTTTCGAGAAACGTGGGGAAGCCGTTAGCCCGTCAACTATTCAACGATACCATATCAAACAAGGACTAAAGGCTTTTCATGTGATTCCAAAGCCAATGAAGTCGGCAACAAGCGTAGAAAATCGTGCCTGGTTTTGCAATTATTTGCGTCATTGGGATGAACATGACTTCATGCAGTTTGCGCCAGCTGATGAGTCCTACATCTGGACTGTTCGTCGGCCTAACTATCAAAACGACAGAATATGGACGTTTTCTCTAGAAGATATCGAAAGCGATGAGCGTTATCAAGATGTTTGTGCAAAACCAAATTGCATTGGAGTTTTC